TATTTGTGTACCAGAACAATGATATTTGTAGACCATTCGAGCAAGTTGGCGTATCTCGACCCTGTCAACGATAATGCGACTGGTGATTATACCTCAAAGATGTTCCTCAACAAACTATTTCCCCAACACGTCTTGTCGACAGCCATCGTATTGGATTAACATCAGCACTTTCCTGCAAAATTCTGGCAAACGTTGCTTGAGTTGCTCGACACCCTGTCCAACAGAGACGATCGAGGCTGTAAATGCAGACCCGGTTGAGGATAGATTGTAGCCTCGGCGTCTGCGTCGTGCTTTGCACTTTGAAAAGTGAAGAGAAGGGAAGAGAACATGCGACAACACCCTAGGTGGCCATCCGCTTCAGCCGGATAGGTCGCCGTCCCTCGCCCGATGTGCTGACTGAGTCTGATTGTAACGGGGTTACACGTACCCTGGTAACAGGAGTGTGTGTCACACGAGATGTGCATGGTGTGACTGCACTCAAACAAGAATACGGTATGTTGCGATGTAGCCAGTAGTTATGCATGTATCTAGATTTTACTATATATATTTAGTCAGATCTCTACATTTAAATTTATGCGGTTTAGCCGCAGACATGAATATAGTTTATTAGCCTTGGTTAAGGTAGTAACTACTCTTGGAGTTAGCGGATTGCGATCCGCTACACTCGTGTTGGTTCTTCGGAAGAACGAAAGGTCGGTGACCTAAATCACACTTCTTCAAGCGCTAAGCTACGGCAGATTCGCTGCACTGATACTCATCAGCATTGTGCCTTTTGTCTCTATATTCGAAGGCCATCGCTTTTTATCGTAGCGAAACAAAAAAGAAGAATGGAAAAAGAACGTGCTAATATTTGAGATCATTGCCTTAATGGTACGGATTTGGATTGGAGTTTGGCAATGCGAGCTGTGTGCAAAGCTTCGAAAATATCTTGGGGGTGTTTGAGCGCGAAATTTAACACTTTGACAATGTCCACACTATCTAATTTCTATATGTGCAGTGCAGTTCCCGCTGAATCTGGCAGAAGCAAACGAATGTAGAATTGTATGTAGTGCTTGAAACGCTCTAAAAGGAGCCCAAACTTTTCCGTTAAAATATGTATCGAGGACTTTGAAAGGTTAGACCGTGGTGGCGAAGGCTAAGCGCGAAATTCAGAATCCTTCAAAACACCAATAGGAAAGATGTCGCATATCTTGTGATGATGCTGCGCTAATGTACGATGATGGATTTATCACAAAGAAAGCAGTTATCTCAATTGAGCCAAATCCGATTTGTTATTTGTCGATGCGTTAAAGCCGAAGTTATCCGCCAACTTGCTCGAATGGTCTACAAATATCATTGTACTGGTACACAAATACCATAATACCGGTATTACTGGACGTGTCGTTTGAAATAGCAGAAAATAAAGTTTATATG